GCCAACTAATTGGTATACTCGTACTTCGTTCGATTTTAATTTAGTAAACCATAAACTTAAAAGTTTAAAGCGTTTTTAAATTCTGAAATAATTGTTGTAATGGTTTTATCGGTTTTTGTCTGACGCTCCTATTATCAATAGAGGTTTCAGCTAGCCGAACTTAAAGCGGGGAGTTTCTCCTGGAGTTTCTCATGGTCGAGGTTTATGTATTAGCGTCCAATTAATAGTGACTTCACACGTTTTCCGAGGGTTGTGAACATTCTTCGACGAACAGATTCCAACACGGCGTTTTTTTTTCATCGAAAAGTTCATGGTAAATTCCAAATTATAAATTTCACTCAATTTCCAAAATCTTTTGAAGTGAACCCACGGCTTCTGCTTGAGAGACAGTATGTTAAACCATTACGCAACCATGATTTTTATTTTAATTAGAAAAAAAAACTACAAAAAGTATCAAGCTGAAAGAAGAAAAACTTCCATATATTTCTCACAGATGGTGTCACGGCAAAAAACTCGTTAAAAACCAGAAACGAAGATCTTCAAAGATCCGTGGCATAGCGTCTGGCACTGTTTACTGGAAGACGCTGGTTCGAATCCAGCCGGATCGAAGGAATTTTTTCTTGGTGTTTGATCTTTGTATCAATAATTATAACAAAGTAGTGGAGTAATTTCACAAAATAATAGTTGAATATCATGGTAGTAAAACATTGTGAAATTCAATAAACTTAAACAAACACTTCACTAATTCCGCAGCAATGCTATTGTTTAAACCTAAATCGTGGGCCTAGAGTACATACAAATATAGGGTATGCTTTCAGGACAAAAGTTCCGAAATGCTTTATTTATAAACTTAACGCCTCATTTGCCTCACCAACACCTGTCCCTTTAATGTCGAAACTTTTCTCTTGCAAACTTTTTAAAAATAAATTGAATTTTTCTACGAATAAAGCATGAAGCACACAGAGAGCGGGCGCGAATCGGGCGCGTATCGGGTCTAATTCCGTGTATTTATATGGACGACAACACACCGAGTGAGGGCGCGAGACGGGCGCACGCGCCCGCGTTTAAATTCGCGGATTTAGACCCGCCGCGTTCCTGACCCGACACACGCCCGACTCGCACCCGCTCTTTGTGTGTTTCACGCTTTAGTACAAAGAAAGTTACATGCAAAATTCTCCTATCCTATTATGATCAGTGTGTACAGCTTTCTATTTAACAGTTGAAACCAGAGACGGACAAGCGCCCAGGTTTTAACTCGGCGTGATGTTAACTTTTTTGTTTAAATAGGGTGAAAACCAATTAACGCCCAAAATCGAGGGCTTAAACTACTTATAACTAAATATTTTATATTACAGAAGATTTGGAGTAGTATAAGGGATACGATTGTAGGTACAGCAAAATAAACGCTTACGGTGGGCAATACTGTTAAGTCGAAAGAATGGATAATGGGTAAAATTATGGACCTAATGACTCAGAGACGACTAGCAAGCACAAGGATCCTGGAAAATACAAGGAGATTCACAAAGAGGTGATAAGAAAATGTATCAAAGCCAAGGATCTATGGATTATCGACAAATGTTCAGAGATAGAGGTATTACATGCCAAGCATGATAACTTCAATATGCACAAGAAAATCAATGAATTAATATGGCAAAAGAAAAGACCACTCGCTACCACTCTACTAGATAAAGACGATAGATATTCCATGATAATTGAGGACCGTTTAAGGATATTGAAGGAATACAATGAAGAGTTATTTCATGATCAACGTTCGAGTAACAAGTACATATGGGCACAACTAACTGGACCAGCTATTACAAAGGATGAAGTTTCCCACGCAATTCAAACTGCGAAAAGCGGGAAAGTAGTTGGACCAGATGAAATTCCCGTCGAAATCCTAAATTTATCAGATTATGAACACCTAGATATTGTTGTGCACCTCTTCAATTCAATTTATGATTCTGGTATTATTCCTTCAGAATGGCTCTACTCTATCTCTATAGCTTTGCCAAAAATCAGCACCGCAAGATGTTGTAATGAGTACCGCATCATATCATTGATGAGCCACGCTCTGAAGGTGTTTCTCAAGGTTGTTCATAAAAGAATATACCGGAAGTGTGAAGACAACATTTCAGAGACACAGTTCGGATTTAGAAATGGCTATGGAACATGCGACGCACTCTTTGGTTACAAAATACTTATGCAACGCTGTTGGGACATGAGTCGATGCGCTTACATCTGTTTCATCGACTATGAAAAAGCATTTGATTATGTGAAACATGACAGGTTGATACAGATCTTGGAAAGGATAGGCCTAGATTCTAAAGACATCTTAATGATTAAAAATCTTTACTGGCAACTGCAAATGTACGCGTAGAGCAAGAACTCACAGATGATGTGGAGATACTACGAGGAGTGAGGTAAGGACGTATATTATCACCGTTGCTTTTCAACGTTTACGCGGAAGAGATTTTTTCAGAAGCTCTTGAAGACGCAACCGAAAGGACTGTTGTAAACGGGTGTCGCATCAATAACATCTGATATGCCGACGACACGATTCTCCTTGCCAGCTCCATGGAAGATCTACAGCAACTGCTCAATCATGTAGACTCGATCAGCGCACAGAATGGTCTGAATATTAACGTCAAAAAGACTAAGTATATGATTGTCGGCCGTGCTCCGCAGACGTTTGCTGTCCTCCACGCTAGGAACCAACCACTTGACAGGATCCGTTCTTTTAAATACCTTGCCTGTATGGTAAACGACCAGGAAGACCACAGCATAGAACTTAGATGTTGCATAGAGTTAGCCAGGAGTGCTTTTATTAAAATGAGCCACTTCCTTTACAATCGTACTCTCAAACTATCGACAAGATGCCGTTTAGTGCGGTGCTACATATTTTCAATTCTTTTGTATGGAGTAGAACATGGACACTAACTCAGACATTATATAAACGGTTAGAAGCCTTCGAAATGTGGGTTTATC